TTTTTTGTTAAAACGTTCTGGCTTAGGAACTTCAGACATCCAGGGTTGCTACTCTCCAAAGGGAATTACATATATGATATATACCCTTATACATGAAAGATACCTAATTCCTTGCAGAACTACATACATAGAATATAGGTACCCAGTGGGAATATTCATCAATTTTTTGAGGCACACCACCTAATTCCATTGGTTTTCATTGCAAAATAGTTTTTTTCTTTCATGGTTCCCCGGCACCGGTCGTGGGGGGTACCCTTAGGTGAGCTTGAACAATTTTATGAAGGGTTTGATGGTAATTTAGTGGATTTTAGTGGGGTGAAAAGTTTGAAAACTGTCCATTTATGTCCATTTATGCTGCAGTATGGGTGATGTTTGGATAATAAAAAAAATACAAAAAAGATCTTCCAGAATTGAAAAATATTCTATGTACACTCCTGGTGTATTCTATGTACACCGTTTTTTTCAATTCTGGAAGATGCACCAAACAAACTATTTTTGTTCAATTCTAAATTCTATGTTCGGGTACCTCGCTATATAAATATAGTATATACACACATTAGAACCTATATGCATATATACATTTGTGTCTATACTTGTATATGTGCGTATTTAGGTGGCGAAACCCACACTTAGAACAAATCACAGTTTGTCGTTATCCATAGTACTGAACCTATATACATGTATACGTCATTGTCTATACTTGTACATGTGCGTATTTAGGTGGCAAAACCCACACTTAGAACAAATCACACTCTGTCCTTATCCATATAATATATATATATATATATAAATGCTTGAACCTATATACATGTATACGTTTGTGTCTATACTTGTATATGTGCGTATTTAGCTGGCGAAACCCACACTTAGAACAAATCACATTTTGCCGTTATCCATAATACACATATATATATATACACACATTAGAACCTATACATATATACGTTTGAGTCTATACTTGTACATGTACGTATTTAGGTGGCGAAACCCACACATAGAACAAATCACATTTTGTCGTTATCCATAAATATTTGTATTATATATATGTATATATATATATATACGTTTGAACCTATATGCATTTATACGTTTGTGTCTATACTTGTATATGTGCGTATTTAGCTGGCGAAACTCACACTTAGGATAATCACATTTTGCCATTATCCATTAATTAATATATATATATATAAATTTATATAAATATTTATATATATATATACACATTTGAACCGGTATATTTGCATATGTTTGTGTCTATACTTGTACATGCGCGTATTTAGGTGGCGAAACCCACACTTTGAAAAAATCACATTTTGTCGTTATCCATAAATATATATATATATATTTATTTATTTGAACCTATATACATGTACACGTTTGTGTCTATACTTGTATGTGGGCGTATTTAGGTGGCGAAACCCACACTTAGAACAAATCACATTTTGCCATTATCCATTTATATATATATATACACATTTGAACCTGTATATTCGTATACGTTTGTCTCTATACTTGTATATGGCGTATTTAGGTGGCGAAACCCACTCTTAGAACAAATCACATTTTGTCGTTATCCATATTTATTTACATACATACATACATACAGGTTAGAACCTATATGCATATATACGTTTATGTCTATACTTGTATATGTGCGTATTTAGGTGGCGAAACCCACACTTAGAACAAATCACATTTTGTCGTTATCCACAATATATGTATATATATAGATATTATAGCGTATATAATATATACCCTTATACATGAAAGATACCTAATTCCTTGCAGAACTACATACATAGAATATAGGTCCACAGTGAAAATGTTCATCCATTTTTTCAGGAACGCCACCTAATTCCATTGGTTTTCATTGCAAAGTAGTTTCTTTTCATAGTTCTAGGACACCGGTCGTGGGGGGTAAGTACCCTTCGGTGAGCCTGAAAAACACATTTTTTCATACAATATAAAAAGAAATTGATCATTTCGGGGGACCTGTTTTTTTGTTAAAACGTTCTAGTTTAGGAACTTCAGACATCCAGGGTTGCTACTCTCCAAAGGGAATTACATATATGATATATACCCTTATACATGAAAGATACCTAATTCCTTGCAGAACTACATACATAGAATATAGGTACCCAGTGGGAATATTCATCAATTTTTTGAGGCACACCACCTAATTCCATTGGCTTTCATTGCAAAATAGTTTTTTTCTTTCATGGTTCCCCGGCACCGGTCGTGGGGGGTACCCTTAGGTGAGCTTGAACAATTTTATGAAGGATTTGATGGTAATTTAGTGGATTTTAGTGGGGTGAAAAGTTTGAAAACTGTCCATTTATGTCCATTTATGCTGCAGTATGGGTGATGTTTGGATAATAAAAAAAATGCAAAAAAGATCTTCCAGAATTGAAAAATATTCTATGTACACTCCTGGTGTATTCTATGTACACCGGTTTTTTTCAATTCTGGAAGATGCACCAAACAACCTATTTTTGTTCAATTCTAAATTCTATGTTCGGGTATCACGCTATATAAATATAGTATATACACACATTAGAACCTATATGCATATATACATTTGTGTCTATACTTGTATATGTGCGTATTTACGCGGCGAAACCCACACTTAGAACAAATCACAGTTTGTCGTTATCCATAGTATATATATATATCTAAATATTATATATTATATACATACATTTGAACCTATATACATGTATACGTCAGTGTCTATACTTGTACATGTGCGTATTTAGGTGGCAAAACCCACACTTAGAACAAATCACACTCTGTCCTTATCCATATAATATATATATATATATAAATATTATATTATATATATATACATTTGAACCTATATACATGTATACGTCAGTGTCTATACTTGTACATGTGCGTATTTAGGTGGCAAAACCCACACTTAGAACAAATCACACTCTGTCCTTATCCATATAATATATATATATATTTAAAAATACACACGCTTGAACCTATATACATGTATACGTTTGTGTCTATACTTGTATATGTGCGTATTTAGCTGGCGAAACCCACACTTAGAACAAATCACATTTTGTCGTTATCCATAATATACATATATATATATACACACACATTTGAACCTATACATATACGTTTGTGTCTATACTTGTACATGTGCGTTTTTGGCTGGCGAAACCCACACATAGAACAAATCACATTTTGTCGTTATCCATAAATATGTGTATTATATATACGTTTGAACCTATATGCATTTATACGTTTGTGTCTATACTTGTATATGTGCGTATTTAGCTGGCGAATCTCACACTTAGGATATTCACATTTTGTCATTATCCATAAAATATGTATACTTAAACGCATTAGAACCTATATGCATATATACGTTTGAGTCTATACTTGTACATGTGCGTATTTAGGTGGCGAAACCCACACTTAAAACACATCACATCCTTGTCATTAAGCATAAATATATATACACACATTTGAACATATATTTGTATACGTTTGTCTTTATACTGTATATGGCGTATTTAGGTGGCGAAACCCACTCTTAGAACAAATCAAATTGTGTCGTTATAAATATATATATATACACATACACATTTGAACCTATATGCATTTATACGTCTGTGTCTATACTTATACTTGTATATTTGCATATTTAGCTTGCGAAACCCACACTTAGAACAAATCACATTTTGTCATTATCCATAGAATATGTATATTTATACACATTTGAACCTATATTTATTTATACGTTTGTGTCTATACTTGTATATGTGCGTATTTAGGCGGCGAAACCCACACTTAGAACAAATTGCATTTTGTCATTATCCATAAATATATATATATACACACATTTGAACGTATATACATTTATACGTGTGTATCTATACTTGTATATGTGCGTATTTGGGTGGCGAAACCCACACTTAGAACAAATCACATTTTGCCATTATCCATAAATATATATATATATACACATTTGAACCTATATGCATTTATACGTTTGTGTCTATACTTGTACATGTGCGTATTTGGCTGGCGAAACCCAACCTTAGAACAAATCACATTTAGGTTGCAAAATTAGACATCGTGTCCGGGGAATAGCATACATCAAAAATCATGAAACATGCTATTTGGAATGGCAATGTTTGCTACAATTGTTATAACATGTTGTTTTGAATGGCAATGTTTGCTAAAATTGTTACATAATGGGGTTTGTTTTTGTTCTAAGTGTGTTTGTTTTTGTTCTAAGTAGTGGGGTTCGGATGTTTACGGTTTTTCATTCTAAGTAGTTTCTCCCTGCGATTTTTTCCGAATGTTTTTCCAAATTTTGTTCTAAGTAGTTGTCCGTCGCTATAATTACGTTACATTACATTACATTACAATAGATTATGCTACAATTGCAGCTACAACTACAACTGCAGCTAAACCTACAACTACCACTAAATTACACTACACTACACTACACTAATTACACTACACCACAACTACAACTGCACTACTTTACACTACAACTGCACTACTTTACACTACCGTACACAACACTACAATATACAACACTGCGGTACACTACACTACAAATACCACACCGCAATTACAACTGCAACTGCAACTAATTACACTACATTTCAACTACAACTCCACTACACCACACTACAACTACAACTCCACTACACTACAACTACAACTACAGCTGCACTACACCCCACTACATCCAGCAGTTGTGGGTGAGGTGACCACTGCAACCATTGCAGCCACTCGAAAAAAACGCAACTCCAACCACCTGTCGGTCCATCAGTGGATTCGCTCTGCCATCCGTGATTCACAACAACCTTGTGCGGTACTACTGGCAAACATATTTTCTATTTTTAAATGTATACTAAATTGAACACTCTAACGCAACGGGAGCAAAAATGCAATTCTGATCTATATGGCACTCAATGAACACACTGCCCAGCAACACCTCCTCCCATCTTTTCTGTTCAAGGCACATTGCCAGCAGCTGGTTCGCTGCCACAATGGACCCTGCCTCTACAAGGCAGACAATCCCAACTAAACCTATCCTGACTCCTTAGCCCAGTTTAGAGATCAGCAGAAGAAAGTAGTCTGGTTGGAGCCTGGCAAAGAGGTCCAAACTACTTTCCATCCCAAAAAGGTTTCACCCGTCACACCTGTGTGTGCGTCTTGCCGTGAGAGACTAGGAAATCATTGGTGACTGACCTTGGCGCGTCTATGTTGGCAAAAAAAAAGTGCTGTGGAAGTGGACGTCTGCCAACACTGGAATGCGATGACTGCAAAAACAATATCAAATCCACAGTGCCTGGATGTATAGATGATTCCGCGTTCTAGGCAGCCTACTTTTGACTTCCCCTGCATTCTTGCATCAACATGGTATCGGACAAGTGGCAAGAGACGTGTGATACCAAGAAAAAGCCATGACAGGTAATCATTAGCGCCGCTTTCTCCTTCGACCCTGCGGCCCTGCGGCCCTTCGGCCGTGTCGGTCGGCCCTGTCAGTCAACCCTGTCAGTCAGCCCTGTTGGCCCTCTCTTGCCGAGAGGCTGAAAAGCATGAAGCAAACCAAGCAGTATGGCTCTCCAAACGCCCAGCAGCCAAATTGCCTGGGTGGATTGCAGCTCTTCATCTCCACAAGCATCACAGCAGTCATAGTGGTCCTGAGCTCCGTGAAGCAGTCGAAACATTTGGCTTAGCTAAGGCTTGGGGCTATCCAGGGCACTTGGGATCCACTTTAACACCCTTTAAAAATATGCATCCAAGCTGCTGACATAGAGCACTTCCGTGCCTTTTCACCTTAGACACATTGCAAGCAACCAAATGTGCTGATTTCGGGTCTCTTGTGCCAGCCTGCGATGTCTGCACAAATGATTGGATTGTTGCATGAGGCAAAGGGTAAAGAACAAATACGTAAACACTCAAAGAACCCCAAATATCCCAAATGATGAAATTCGCTGAAAGATTGGTTCCCCTGCAACAAAAGCAGCCGCTGCCTCTTATATTTGTTTTTTTGGTGATGCAAACACCACAAGTACACCACAACGGAACAAAATTGTTTCGTTTAGGCCCATTGCCAGGTATTGCCAGTGACAGCTCAATTTGAAACTGCACCAGCTCTGCGATTATAGCTATGCGATTAGTTTTCCGCGAGGCTATGAAGAAACTACATTCAAAGTTGCTCTTGGTGCCTTGGAGCCCCAACCAGGCGAAGGCGGCTCGTCATCTAACAAAGGCAAGCTCAGCACACTGGGATCGGGGCTCAAAGTGCGAGGCCTCGTCTACCCGATGAAAAATATCGGCTGCTGACACACTTGTCTACATCCTCCATTACGCTTTCTGTAACCTCACGTTTTTCAGACGTGTGTAAAAATGTTGATGGCCCCTCATGCAGTCCAATGAGAATAACGAGAATAAAGTGCAGCGAAACCATTGGGCCAAAGACTTGCCTAAGATCCCTTCGCCATCTGTTCTTGACTCTAGTCATCCGAGTCATCGGGGTCCAAGTCACACAAATCGCCCGGGTCATCCTGGAGTGCCACCCCAGGTCTTGCAGCCATGGAGCGGCGAGCGCGTGATTGCAAATGGCAATGTGGTGCAAGTAGAAAGCGCAGCACCAGCAGCCACAGAAACCAGGTTCGGTAGGAGCAGGGCAAGCTGCAAAGTGAGAACGCCAAAGTTCAAGACCTAAGATGCATTCACTTGCATCTCTTCATTTCCGTGGAAGCTAGAAACTTTAGAACTCCGGAATGGAGAAGCATGCTTTGTCCTGGATGCGCTGTGAGGTAAACGTATTTTGAGGATATGTGACCCATGCAATCCATGTGACATGTCGCTGATTGCACGTTTACCTAGGATATTTGGATGAAGTTCACGTCGAGTTGCGCGTGGAACCGACCAGTTGCAAGTCGCAACCACCAAATGCCCGAAGAAAATCATCACCACGAAGCCTACCATGAGCCTGCGACCACACTGGTGCAAACACAGCTGGGGCCAACCACGTCACGCAAGGCTCGCCTCAAGCTCAACCGTTGAGCTCAACCATCGAGTCATCTTGACAAAGCAATGCTCTTTTTTTTCTGCTTCAATTTCTTCAGCTCACAAGCCCCTCCGACCGGCAGTGCCGAATTCAGCCTTGTATGTACAGTTCCATTGATCAGTTCCGTTGATCAGTTCTGTTGATCAGTTCCTTTGACGAATTCTCATGTATCTTATCACTCTTTGAGGGTCTCATGAGATGACATCTTCGATTTAAAAAAATTAGGTCTGCTGCAGTCTGCTGTTGAAAACAAAGGAAAATCAGCACAGCTTCCATGGTGAGGGGGCAAGCTATTCCTGTCTGACACCAGTCAATGGCACATTTGTTGCCCCGGGCGTTTTCTTTATTTTTTTCAGCAGGCTCACCCAAAATTTTGAAGCAAGATACCAGCATCAGCTTTCTACTTTCCAAGCCCCCTTGTTTTGAAAATAGACTGCCTCCTGCAAAAGCAATTGCTGCAACATCATCCCAACCTGCAAAAACGAAACAACGCACCTGGGATATGTAAATTCTCTCCTGATATGCCTGATATGTAAACAGTTACCTCCAGAGACTTGGGATTTGGCTGACCATTTTGAGCCCGAAGGTTTTGGCACACAAGGTGTAAGGTGCGCGACAACTGTTACAACATCACGATCAAATAGAGGCAACTACCACATGATGTGGAGGCATGGTGCCCCACACTCGAAGCTGCCATTGTGTGAATTTAGCTCGAATTAGAATGAGCAAAGCAGCCCGCACCCAGCTTCTACGACTGCATTTTTGCAACCGATGCCTACAGAGTGGAATTTAGACAGTGCCTTTCTTAACTGCACAAGGTGTGGCAGAATTTCACCTTCCTTGCTCAAGAGCCCACCTGTGCCCTGCATCCTCGAAGTTTCCCAAGTGGGCGACAAAGTCTTGGAAGACTTCCCAGCGCGTCGTTTTCACATGGAGCAACAGCATCGGCTTTGGTCAAATGACGCCTGCTCCACACAGTGTTGAGATCTTTAGGAATCAAAAAGTGGCCAGTTTTGCAGCTCTACCATGTTTCATCACAATCGACGATGCTTTCCGTTATTGCAAAGACTTTCAGAAATAGGTGAAGCTGTGCTGGAACCATACTTGACTACATGATGCATTCCAGCCCACATCTCCACTGATGATGCTCGTGATTCAAGACCATGTCCTGTGGTGCGTGCTGTATGATCATGTGGCAATCTGTTGATGTCTCTCCTGAGAACCTCCTAACTTCCAACTTTCAATGAATGTTTTGCATGTCAGTTTCAGGGTTTTGCCTGAAACTTCTTCAACTCCTCCACAATTTCTGCTGGGCTCGGCCGCTCACCAGGATCCTCACTCCAGGCCTTGGTCAGGTCATGGTGAAATGGGGAAGGAACTTCAGGAAAAAAATGTACATCTTTGCAACGGCAAGGATGTGTCTACTTTTTTGGATTTTTGTTTCCTGGCCCGGCCCTAGGCAGGCTCACAATGTCACGTAGATAATATTTTCATATTATGAAGATGAGCCTCAAGATACGCTCCGCAACCACGAACAGAGCGCAAACAAACACCATGACAGAGTTCGTGCATACCTTCCTCGTCAAACATGCTGCAAGTGTGCAGATTTCATATCACTTCATGTTGGGAGATTTTTCTACAAGCAGCAAGTTTGAGAGGCCGGTGCTTCGGGGTGACGGCATGCCGGCTAACCTCCCGCCATCTCTAGTGACTAGTGGATTGTGCTTGTGCGTTGGAGTAAGCGTAGCTGCAGCTGTAGTTTGAGCCTGGTCTTAGGTCACCCCCTCCCACCCCCCCAAACACCGAACCCCCCTTCCTTCTTCCCTCTTTTTTTCCGTTTTCCTCTTTGTTTTTCTTTTTCCCCTCTCTCTACGCAACAAAAATTGGTAATTTTTTGTTTTTCTTGTCCATAGCTACAGTAGGTTGTAAAAGTCAGTGAAAACTAACCATGGTCCAGACACAAACTGATCAATCAATAGCGGTCCGCTTTGCCTGGATGAAATGCGTTCATCTCACAATGTGGGGTCAGAATGCGTGAAATTGCCACCTGGAACTGCCCAAAGATTGGCCAAATTTTGGTTTTCTCTCCATTGTACATATAATTAGGTTGTCAAAGCAAGTCTCAAGCAATCTTCCGAGTTGCGGATGAAGCAGTGTAGTGCAGTAACAATACATCACATAACTAGAGCTTTGTTGCATGGGACTTGTGTTGGGGAGGAAGCCGGAGCACGAAACCGTGTGTTTTTCCGTGTAGGGTGGTTGCAGGCGGCGGTGAAGGGTACCTCCAGTGTGCGGCGGTTGCGGTTTGGATCATGTCAACGCGTAATCGGTTCTCCCTTGGTGTTCTGCACCGCGGGGATGCGAATCGCATTGTAATGGCTGCATGGAGTGTACATGGTGCTGCAAAACGCATTGTAATGGGGTTGGAGAGGAAGCCGGAGCACGAAAGCGTGAGTTTTTCCGTGCAACGTGGCTGCAGGCGGCGATGAAGGGTACCTTGTGTGTGCGGTTGCGGTCTGGATCGTTTCGAGCGTAATCGGTTCTCCCTTGGTGTTCTGCAACGTGTGGATGCAAATCGCATTGTAATGGCTGCATGGATGTGCACGTGGTGCTGCAAAACGCATTGTGTGTGTGTGTGTGCAATGGCTGCATGGGGAGGAAGCCCGAGCACGAAACCGTGCGTTTTTCCGTGTAGGGTGGCTGCAGGCGGCGGTGAAGGGTACCTCCTGTGTGCGGCGGTTGCGGTTTGGATCATGTTCTCCCTTGGTGTTCTGCAAAGCGGGGATGCGAATCGCATTGTAATGGCTGCATGGATGTGTACGTGGTGCTGCAAAACGCATTGAAATGGCTACATGAACGGTGCATGAGACTTGTGTGTGGGAGGAAGCCGGAGCACGAAAGCGTGAATTTGTTCCGTGCAACGTGGCTGCAGGCGGCGATGAAGGGTAGGTACCTTGTGTGTGCGGTTGCGGTCTGGATCGTTTCGGGCGTAACCGGTTCCCCCTTGGTGTGCTGCAACGTGTGGATGCAAATCGCATTGTAATGGCTTCTGTGTGTGCGCGTGCAGCGGTTGCGGTTGGGATTGTTTCGGGCGTAATCGGTTCTCCCTTGGTGTTCTGCGACGTGTGGCTGTTCACGCGCGTGTAGTTCTATGTGCATGTTGAATCCCTGGTTGCAGATCGCAGCGTAATAGCTGCATGATTGTCGTCACACTTTGGCTCCATGTGCGTACAGAGATGCGGGTTAGCCACGTGATGCTGCAAAACGCAGTGTAATCGCTGTACTGGGGCGTGCTTTGTGCAAGCTTTGTAGTACAAGGTGTTACCAGGATATTCTTTTTGCGAGCTTTGTAGTACAAAGCAGTACTGGGACGTGCTTTGTGCAAGCTTTGTAGTACAAGGTAGTACTGGGAAGTCCTTTGTGCAAGCTTTGTAGTACAAAGCAGTACTGGGAAGTACTGTGTGCAAGCTTTGTTGTGCAAAGTCGTACTGGGAAGTGCTTTGTGCAAGCTGTGTAGTACAAAGTCGTACTGGAAAGTGCTTTGTGCAAGCTTTGTAGTACAAAGTAGTACTGGGACATGCTTTGTGCAAGCTTTGTGGTACCAGTAGTACCGCACAAGGCGGTGGCGGAAGTTTCAAAAATAGGAAACCTATAGGAAAGGTTGGTTGTTGTGAATCAGGGATGGCAGAGCGAATCCACTGATGGATCGAAAGGTGATTGATGTCTCGTCTCTTTCTGTCTCTTTCTCTGACTATCTACCTACCTACCTACCTACCTATCTATCTACCTGTCTATCTATCTATCTACCTATCTATCTATCTATCTATCTATCTATCTATCTATCTATCTCGCTCTCTCTCTCTCTCTCGCTTTCATTTGTCTATCTGTCTAGCTGTCTACCTGTCTATCTGTCTATCTATCTATCTATCTGTCTATTTGTCTACCTGTCTATCTGTGGTGCAGTGTCATTGAGTGTAATGTAGTGTAGTGGAGTGTAGTGAAATGTAGTGTAGTGTAATGTAGTGTAGTGTAGTGTAATTTAGTGTAGTGGAGTGTAGTGGAAGGTAGTGTAGCGTAGTGCAATGTAGTGTAGTGGAGTGTAGTGTAGTGGAATGTAGTGTGATGTAGTGTAACTTAGTGTAGTGGAGTGTAGTGGAGTGTAGTGGAGTGTAGTGGAGTGGAGTGTAGTGTAGTTGAATTGTAGTGTAGTGTAGTGTAGTGTAATTTAGTGTAGTGGAGTGTAGTGGAAGGTAGTGTAGTGTAGTGGAGTGTAGTTGTGTAGTTGTAGTTGTATCTGTAGTGTAGTGGAGTGTAGTGTAATGTAGTGAAGTGTAGTGGAAGGTAGTGTAGTGTAGTGTAGTGCAGTGTAGTGTAGTGTAATGTAGTGCAGTGTAATGTAGTGTAGCGTAGTGGAGTGTAGTGGAGTGTAGTTGTGTAGTTGTAGTTGTAGTTGTAGTTGTAGTTGTAGTTGTAGTTGTAGTTGTAGTGTAGTGTAGTGTAATGTAGTGTAGTGTAGTGTAATGTAGTGTAGTGTAGTGTAGTGGAGTGTAGTGTAGTGTAGTGTAATGTAATGTAGTGTAGTGTAGTGTAGTGAAGTGTAATTTAGTGTAGTGGAGTGTACTGGAGTGTAGTGGAGTGTAGTTGTGTGTAGTTGCAGTTGGAGTGTTGTGGAGTGTTGTGTAGTGTAATGTAGTGTAGTGGAGTGTAGTGTAGTGTAGTGTAATGTAGTGTAGCGAAGCGAAGGAACATCTGAACCTCCAAAAGTGGTCCGAACCCCCTAGTGTTTTTAACATTTTGACTTCAAAATGTGCTTCGCGCCACAACGGCGTGCACTTTTGCGAAATCTGAACTTCCAAAAGTGGTCCGAACCCCTAGTGGTTTTAACATTTTGACTTCGAAATCTGCTTCGCGCCGCAACGGCGTGCACTTTTTCGACATCGCAACCTCCAAAAGTGGACTTCCAAAAGCGGTCCGACGCTGAGGTGTTTTGCACCTTTTCACTTCGAAATCGGCTTCGTGCCACAACGGCGTGCAACTTTTCACCTCTCATCTCCCCAGATGTCTCCGCACTTGCCGCTTTAGCGAGCCTACTTTTCAACCCTCCGGAGCCACAAAACCACGAAAAAACAGTGTTTCGCGACTTTCCTACCTTTTCGCGCACCTGCATCTTCTTTCTTCTGATCTTTTCTCTTCTGACTCTTCTCCCTGCTGACTGCTTTTTCATCTCTCCATATTTTCGGGAGTTTGACTTCTAAACTTCCTTTGACAAAGTCGTACTGGGAAGTGCTTTGTGCAAGCTTTGTAGTACAAAGTCGTACAGGGAAGTTCTTTGCGCAAGTCTTGTAGTACTAAGTAGTACTGGGAAGTGCTTTGTGCAAGCTCTGTAGTACAAAGTAGTAATGGGAAGTGCTGTGTGCAAGCTTTGTGGTGCAAAATATTTTGGCTAGGCTTTTCTGTGTAAATGCATCTGTGTCTCAAGCTTCTGTGTGCAAAAGCTTACTGCGCCCAATGGTTTTTTGTGCAAGAGACTTATCTCTGACAGTAAGAGCTTTCTGGCGCGCAGAACAGCTGAGATGAGCTGAGGCGAACTTCGAGGAGATGAGAAAGGTTGATCAGTGCTCGGATGAGATGAAAACAGTTGAGAAGAACTTACTTAGATGACATGTGAGAAGAGATGGGATGAGATGAAAAGAGGTCAGAAGAGCTCAGATGAGATGAGATGAGATGAGATCAGATGAGATGAGATGAGATGAAGTGTGGAGTGTGAAGTGCAAGTGTGAAGTGTGAAGAAAGTGTTCACTTGGCGTTGCATTGCACCGGGTCGAGCGCAGGTCACGTTCTTGGACAACAACAGCGCAACAGGTTCGCACAAAGCACACACGCACGGGCCTGGCTGGCGCACGGCGCGGGCAAGTTCTATAGATGAGAAAGGCTTTGTACTAAACCCCGAAGGCAACTTCCGCCCCGCCTCGTGCGGGTATACTGGTTGAATTCCATAAGGCAATGATCCAAGCACAGGTTGATCAATTTGTATCGCTCCATTTTCTCGGGCTGAAATGCGTTTCTCTCATCCAGGAGCAACTGAAAACTTCAAGGTAAGTACAGTATCAACAAGAAAAGAATCCGCCGGCCTGCCGGCGTGTCAAGACCTTGTGGATCTTGCTTGTTCGTATAGTTGTACTGTCTGTTTTGTCTTTGTGTTTGTCTAGACTTTCCCTTTGGCGCGGATTCTTGCCTTGTCTAACTTGAACCCATGCCCCCCTTCCCCCCTGTCTTCTTCATCTTCGTTTCGTCTTCATCTTTCCTTACGTTGTGCTGGGCTCAACTCTGCCCACGCCTCGCTCAA